CTCTTCTTTTTGGTTTAGATGTCAGGTAACTTTGTAAGGATGAGTGTTACACACACGTGCTTATCAAGCATTGTGCTTTCTGTAACTGCACAGCTCACGGGTGAAGGAGTTAAGCAGAATGCTGTTTGTAGTATATAACTGTAATGAGAGATATGGCTGACAGTTTTCAGTGTTATATACTTAGTATAAAATGAAGTAAGATTGGCTATATATTTGTTACAAATGTTTTTTGTAGATTGGTATTTTTGAAAATAATCCAATAATATCACTATGCTTAGCTAAGGCTGTGGAAAAAATATCTTTTTTTAATTTACAAATCAGTGTGAGTTTTTGTAATTAGAGATCTTGATAATACCTGTGCTGAAAAACATTTTTTTGATTAAAAAAAAAGCAGAAACCTATGAAGGACTACGTGTCTTCTAGGGGTTTTTTGTCAAATTTGAAACTCTTGTCTTGCAAAATGTTGACAACTATCTGTATACTGCTTCTATAACCTACTCAAGCAATTGCGGGTGCTAATTCCTACCCTGCCCCCACACTGTGTGGGAGAGTACTTCCTCAGCGCTGAGCAGAGTTCCTGAGCAAAAGCAAAGCATTGTTTGCAGTTGTTGGCGGCATGTCTTGCCGGCTTAAAGCAAAGGTAGAGAATCTTGCCTCGGTCCCCGCTTTACCTGTGCGGACCTAACCCTTGTTCCTCAACTCCGTGTCCACTTGCAGCGCTCTCCTCACCGCGCAGCTCTGTATGGTAGGAACAGATGTACAGCGAATCTAGGCAAAACAGCTGGATTGCTTGGTTCTCTTTTGAGGCATACAGTGTGGAAATTGACCACTTGTCACCCTACTTCTCATATACTTGTCTTAATTAAAACTGCGTCTTGCACGTAGCTTTACACAAAGTCAGTATGCAAGATTTCCGGGTACTTCTGTGTGGTGAGACAAGCATTGTGTTCTGGTTTTGCTTAAGAACCAACAAAATTTTAGGATTTGACACTACTCCCATGGTTGTTTTATAAGTCAGCCAGGGAGCATGGTGCCGATGACTTCAGTATATGGGCAAGCTATTTGGATGACCGTGCCCTGGAAGCAGTTGTCAGTTGCTCATTGTCGAAATGGACCTTGGCAGAGGTCAGTATAGAGAATATATTTAAGTTTGTGGGTGACTTGAAAGTACATGATATATGTATGTTGGAAGACCTACTGAATTAAGAATAATCTTGAATTGAACAAATTAGTTTTCCAGTTGGGATGGAATTCAGAGAGGAAAACTGAATGTTACAGTATTTAAATAGAAATTTGCAGCCTCACAAGTGGTGCCCACTGGGCAGCAGGTGTGAAGATCAGTTCTAGGGCTTATGGTAGTTGTATCTTGAGCTGCAGTCAGTGTTGTGCGGTTGCAAATAATAAATCAATGGTGTTGCCGTTGTGCAAAGAGGCAGTTGTCATGTATTTAACACAGCTGTAACCTGCAAGAACCATTCAATAAGCATTCAACTCTCTTCACTTTGGTTATTATGGCCTTAAACACAAGAGTGCACCCATGCACCACTGCTGTTGTGCTTAGAGAAATAGTGAGCACCTGGAGAGACACCAGAGGAGAGTAGCACGAGTTATCAGACATCCAGGAAATGGGACTTCAGAGGACAAGTTGAAAAGACTGACTCTGCAGAAGACGAAGAAGGAAAATCAGAATTGTTCGGGCATGTAAGAAGCAGCCAGAAGACATGGCAGTGTTCTGTTCTTCGCGTCCACGTAAGGTGGAGGAAGGAGCAATGAACTTAAATTTCAGAAGGAAAGATTCATATTAGATGTGGAAATATTTTGTAATATTAGTGAAGCACTGATGTGGATTGCTACAAAGGGCAGGGAGCCTCCGTCACGAGGAGCTTACAGGACAGGTTCAACCTGCATCTAGCAGAACTGACCCAGGTGAAATTGCTCCTTGCGTGGGACAGTAGGATGACCTTTTGAGAGCCTCTCCTACACTGCTTTTCTGTGATTTGAAGACTGAGCTATTTATGCTGAAATTTTAAATTTAAAAAATGTGATTTGTTCCCTCCCTCGATCCGTAGAAAAGTTAATCCTGCTGGTAGTTTTATGAAATGTTAAAAAACTCCCAGTGGAAGCAGAAAACTACAGAAGGCTTGCCTGACTGCATGGGAGTTCACTGAGCAGGGGAGATGAGGGGAATAGAGTGTGAGAGGCACGGTAACTTTTTCCTTGGGAAATACAGTAAAATCTGAAGTTGCTTTTGCAGCTTCTCTAAGTAGATGACTGAAAGAATTTACAACTCAGAATTGAGAGATGGTCAGATGTCTTGAGTGGCAGCTCATCAATATTCCATGAAGAGGTGCTCCAGAGCCTCTTATTTGAGGGATGGAGTCTGGTACTACGGAAGCAGCGGGAGGTGAGCTGTATTCGTGGTGGGGTGGGAGGACAGAACCCCAAATTCATGGGAAAGAGGCGAGAATGAGGCTTTTTCTATGCCTGAGCCCGGCAGAGGAAAGCGTACTTCTCCTAAGCCTCCCTCAACAAAGGCTGTATGTTTTGAAGAAGAATGAGAAATACAAGCAGAGCAGGTTTGGCTTCAGAAACTTAGGAGACAGCTACAGCTTTTCTGAGATGCCACACGTTTTTATCTAGCCTAGTGGGCTCAGGGAAGGCAATTTCAAGAAACTTCAAGTTCTGAAGAACTTTCACTGCCTTGGATTTGGACTGAAAACGGTTGTGCAGCCTGGGCTGTAGCAGCAGTGGGGGAGGTTTTTAATTTTTTTATTGTTGTTTTAGGAGAACAGAGCTTGCTAGTTCAGAGCTGTCTGCCAGGATGCATAAGAAGGTGACTTCTCTTGATCAAAGTGTTAGTGACAGATGGAGTTTCCCAAGGTTTCTTCATTTCAGAAATGCAAATGTTGGTTTTTATTCTCTGCCTTTCTTTATCCCCTTTCAAAAAAGTTTGAATTCTCAGGTGTTTTGTGCCTGTACGGGTGAGGAACAGCTTAGAAATCAGGGGGAACAAGAGTCTGCTTTATGTTAAGTTTTCCAGATCTGTTGTTAAAGTTTTGTCAACTGGAAGAATGCAGTAAAACTGTACTTCTGCTAATGGAAATCCAGGGGAGTGTTTAAAACTGGAAAAAAAAATTGTGTATTTCCTCATCTTTTTGCAGCAGCCTCAGTACTGCAAAATACAAAGACTGAATCTGGGTTTAGTTACATGGAGCTCGCGTGTTGCCTTGACAGTGGTAGTAATGACAGAGATGTACTTCTTGTGTTCCTAAACAAAAGGGAAGCATGACTGGGCACAGGATATTTGCTTGGACACTCTGTTTTGTATTAAATGGAGATAACTTTTGGCTTTTATGCGTATATAATAACTGAAGATTTTTGAACAAGAAGCTTGTGGGACAAAAATGTCTGAGTAAATATAAAATGTAGGCTTTTCTCAGCAAACATTGTAAAGCCCAATCTAAATATTTTTTAAAATTATCTTTCCTGTGATTTGCAGGGATTGAATTCAGACTTCTGAGTTGAGGAATTGTTAGTAGCAAAAAGCTGCTTCAAATCAGTAGAAAATGCTGTGGTTTGCTGGAACGACACTGTACTCTTGTCTTGGTCTATAATCTCATGGTCTGCTCTCAGATCTGCTGGCATTAGAAATATTTTTACATTTTAATTGCTGCTTTTTATTTTTAAAATGCTTAACACTTAAATGCTTTTTTTGCTAAATTATGGTTAGCATTTTAGTAGCTGTCAATATCAGATTATCACTGCTGGGCTTTCAGGTTGACTCTTAGCAGGA